GCTGAAATTTTGGGGTATTGTTCCCTATCCAAATTCAACTCAAACATTTCAAATTCAGCCCCAAGCTATGCACGGTACTCACGTAAGGGCGTATAAAAGTTTCTGCAGGAAAATTACTAAGACGGCAACCAGAAGAGCTGGAAGGATGAAATTTTAGGCGGATGTTCCCTCTCCACGTGCAATTTAAAAATTTCGAATTCAGTTTTCTAAGCACATGAAGTACCCAAGTATGGGTATGTGAAGGTTTTGGTGGGAAATTTGCTAACTCGGTAACCAGAAAAGCTGGAAAGCTGAAATTTTGAGAGGATTTTCCTTGTCTAGGTACAACTTATGTGTTTCAGATTCAGCGTTGAGGTATGCGTGGTTCTTACGTACGGGCACTTAAAAGTCTTGAAGAAAAAGTTTCTCACTGAACAAGTAGATAACTTTTAAGGAACGACTACTAAATGGAAATTGCACAGTTACTTTACAAAATTTATGGTGATTTATGCTGGTGACCGCAAAAGGTAGGTGTAAAGCAACAGCCATTTATACAGTTAATAACCAGAGTAATTCAAGTTCGGTGCAAAAACGTTTGATCGCACGGGCCGGCCTGGTGCTTTCCAGCCTGGGTTGCAATTTGCATATATGCTAAAAAGTATAAAAATTGATAATGTACCTATTATTAAGTCCATCTCTACCGTACTGCATAAAATTATTATAAATTTCGTGTATTTTATAATAAAATTATGTTTTATATTAAAATCTTATCATAAATTTTCACATAATAAGATCTTCCCGTAACTATTTATCCTTGTTTAAACTTATCCAATATTTATTACCCTTTTCGGTTATTAATCCGAAAAATCGCTCTTTATTAGAAATAAATACTACGAGTATAGTCATCAAAATCAAAGCCAAAATCCTTCCCCTCCCACAATTTACCATTTAAGAAAGGCAGAAGTAATACTCGCATGTATTTTAAATTGTAGCAACAAGTGCTGGCGTGCTAGCCATACTCGGTCGAGGTTTTTGGTAAACAGATCCCTCTCCCTGAAAGTTGGTTGGAAGGAAAGAGGAGAATTTGAGAAACCAACATGACTGAAACTGAATGCTTTGTGGCATAAACTACGCATGTGAACATTATTCCGTGCGCATTTTTTGCTTTCTGCTGGGCAACAGATTCGTCAAACATTTTATACTTCATGAACCGAAATATTCTTCTTCAGCTTCATTTCCCTTTTCCTCTTCCTTAAAAAAACCGCTCTTTTTTTCTACACATGAAAAACTTATAGATTTTTCAATTATCTTTTCTAGCTTCCTAATCTGTAAAAATCTGTTCTACTAAGGAACGATCACCTCTTCTACTGATAAGCTCATCACTTTCTAATTATCTTTTTTTGCTATTATAAAAAAGAACTTGCAGGAGAACAGCAAATTTTTGAAGAAAAAGTCAACCACGAAGAATGGGAAAAATCGGGGTAAGTTTACTTTCCCGTTCAAATGCTTCAGAATAACTTTTCAGCACACAATTACTAGGGCGATACTGTCTCTCGTTGCTTTCTTGCCAGCTAGACACAGCTAGTTTCTTCGTGTAGCTGCGCTGACCAGTACTGAATTAACACCGGTGGTCAATCTGCTCGCTGGTATATGTAATCAGTCTGCTCGTTGATAGATGTAATCAAAAATTCTTTCACAGGGAAGGGGCACGCGAGAGATTTATTCAGCAGTGCACCAGTGCTGGATCCGTGTTCATTTGCGCCGTATGAAGTTGTATTACTTCCTGCCTCCTTCGGAAAAGCGCGTCTTGAGTTTTCAATGTTCAGGCTTAAGAAACAAATGATATTTGTTGTCGCCTTGATAAATTTTGTAAGTGAAGTATTATTTGACTGAAAAACCTTTGAATCATTTACACTTGCGCTGACAAAGATCTTTTTTTCTAAAATGTCCTTAACTATGCCGTTTTTCTCCGAATATCATTTCTGTATTCTTCCAGAACTAGGAGGAATGCAAGCTAGGAAAGTTAAAGCGAGCAAGAAAATTTTCATTTGAGCAAAATCATCTTACAGCGCGAAGTGGTATCGGTGCATGTGGGACAGGCTGGGGTGCAGATTGGGAACGCTTGCTGGGAACTTTACTGCTTGGAACACGGAATCCAGCCAGATGGAATGATGCGTGATGAGCAGAAGGTCGATTCGGAGGACGATTCATACAGCACTTTCTTCGCTGAAACCCAGCGTGGTAAGTTTATTTAGCTAATACTTAGCATTACATCGCGCTAAGCGAAATCCAAAACTGTTAAATTTTCTTTTTTATATTTTTTTATATTCATGTTACTAATGCACGTAGAAAAGTATTCTCAGCATTTGTTTTCAAGCCTCTCCTGACTTATACAATCTTAATATGCTTCTGTTCAAAATTATCCACTTTCGTCTATATTTTTTTTTACTCCGTCAATGAGGCAATTAATCCCGCTACGGTTCGCTCATTTGTTTTAATGGTAAATTGTTACTTTGCGTGTGCTTCGGAGTCAAAACCACTATCAGCTTGCTTCTGAAAAGCTCTTGGAAGAGAGAGCTTTGTATTTTCTTGCCAGCTGGGTTGCTGTTTGCGTACCCTATCATTTTATTTTGGAGTGCCATCGCTCTCGT